AAGATTACCGCAGAACTGTTCTGGAATCGAAAGGGATTTTTTCGATCAATGTTCAAGCAGTTTCAGGGCCAAATCTAGAATTTCAAAACATTGTTGTTCGATGGCCCGGAAGCGTTCATGACTCCAGAGTCCAGAATATTTGAAAACATTCATTTGTGTGTCCAACGTGAGAACGGTCACATCCAAGGAATGCTTCTCGGTGATAATGGCTACCCTTGTCGACCATACTTGAACACTTTGACCATCTGATTTTGTAACGGTCTCAAGTATAAAAAGACCATGCATACAGTACCTTTGGTAGGGTATCCAACACCATATCCACCATGGCGGCTTCTTGGTAATCTTTCCACGCGTCTGCTTTCTTTGCCATTTGTTCAGCTTCGGCTTTTGCTTTTGCTTCAATAGCATACGCTTCAGCTTCACCTTTCACCTAGAAAAATATATATATGTTATTTACCGGATTGGAGGTCCGTATAGAGAAATATTTCTCTATACGGACCGACCATACCGGTAAATAATATTTTTATTTTTGTTTAATTCGTCCTCTGGATTTCCCCAATCACTCCTCCCGCACGCGAATGAAGCTGCCAAATAAAACGTCGTTTCTATCAATGCTATCGGGAAGAGAAATATCTTTTGTGAGATAGTAAAATTCGTTTTCACTGTGTTTTTCATCGTCTGCAGACATTTTAATGTTTTAAAAAGTAGCCTTTAAACTCGTCTTTAAATTTTGAAAAATAAAAACATTGGCTCTACGGCTTTAAATCTCGCGCGGTCCGTACGGGCTCATACGGACCGCTCACGTAGCCAATCAGATTGCAGAAAAGCGTAAAATATGATTTCGGACCGCAAGAAAAAAAATAATATCCAATATTATCATTCATATGCGGATTTATAGACTTTTATAGACTGAGGGTATTGGACAGTGTGCATCTCAGGACCCTATTAAAAGCGGTTGGAGGACGATACTTACCCTTATGGCTTCAGCTTCAGCCTCTGCTTCAAGAATCACTTTCTGTCTCTTCGCCTCAGCAATCTGTTCCATGCGATATTTCTCCGCATTCGCTGGCTGACGAACTGTTGCTTCCAATTCTTTCTCAACTCTTTCCATTTCCTAAGAGAAAAGAAAATTTTATTTGCTGTACTACATTCTTTTGTGCCAAACATTACTGGTTTCCTAGCCACATCCGACGAATCAGGTGGTCGAAAAATGTTCTTTTCGAACACCCATTCGTAGGCCAAATTCGCTAGAGATGCCTGCGAAGGAGGCTACTGGTATTCGTGGGTTTCAATCACGTGGATTTTAGCATAATTTGACTCAAGTGGCGGTCAAAAATTTTTTCCGACGGCAAATTTGTTTCGACCAATCAAATTTTACCAAATTTTCTTTCTGCGGAAAATTTTCCTGAGTAGAAATGGGCCTTTATATCTTCGCCCGATATCTTCAGTACCTGTTCCTGTACTTTAATCTGCTGTGTCCTCTCAACGACCGAAATCTGCATGGCTTCTTCTTTGATTTTTTGTTTAGTAATGGCCGCCTGGAGATCGTAAGCAAGTTTTGACTGAGCGCTCTTAGTCTGAACTTCGAGATCATAACCTGCTTGTCTTATTTCGTAATCTCGCTGGGATTTCGCCACTTCTGTATCATTCTCGTATTTTGACCTCATTCTTGCCTCGTCAGCTAGGGCCTCCTACAAAATAATACATCGAGTTAGAGGCAGGGCCGCCGAGAGGGGGGGGGGGCAGGGGCAAATTGCCCCCAGCCCCCACCTTAAAGCGCCCCAATTTAAGAGAGAGCCTAAAATTGAGTAGTTCTTTAAATTGGTCAGAGCATTTTTGAAATTGAGGGTCCCTTATACAGTATCTCCACATGTAGTCTAGTTAAGGTCTAGTTGGGCACAGGCGGCCCAATCTTACCCTGTGTTATTAATTTATTACGTTATATCTTTATATAATAGTATATTGAAAATCATTAGAAAATCCTGTGTTATTAATTTATTACGTTATATCTTTATATAATAGTATATTGAAAATCACTTACATGTGTTTCCTGAAAGATTTTAACGAGAACCGGCCAAGATTGGCGTTGACATGAGGTTAACGGCCATGGTTGGGGTTGACATGAGGATTAACAGCAGGAAATAATAGAAGGCTGGTCACTTTGACCGTTAATTGGACTAATTGGGACAAACGCTGACAGAAATCAATCGAATAACGCGAACTTCGGCTGTCGCATCGTCGCCAAATTACGTTACATCGGAAGAGCGATAATTTTTACATAATATACTTTTCTTTAACAGAATTGAACAATATCTTCCTGCAGAAAATGCCGAATTGGAACTTACAAATGTCTAATCTTCCGAGGTTTGTGACCGGTATGAATTCATGGCCTTCAAATTCGAATTACACGCTGCATTGTCATTGGTCGGCTTTCAAAACAACGTTGTTGTTTTGAAAGCCGACCAATGACAATGCAGCGTGTTTGCAGCGTGTAATTCGAATTTGAAGGCCATGAATTCATACCGGTCACAAACCTCGGAAGATTAGACATTTGTAAGTTTCAATTCGGCATTTTCTGCAGGAAGATATTGTTCAATTCTGTTAAAGAAAAGTATATTATGTAAAAATTATCGCTCTTTCGATGTAACGTAATTTGGCGACGATGCGACAGCCGAAGTTCGCGTTATTCGATTGATTCCTGTCAGCGTTTGTCCCAATTAGTCCAATTAACGGTCAAAGTGACCAGCCTTCTATTATTTCCTGCTGTTAATCCTCATTTCAACGCCAATCTTGGCCGGTTCTCGTTAAAATCTTTCAGGAAACACATGTAAGTGATTTTCAATATACTATTATATAAAGATATAACGTAATAAATTAATAACACAGGGTAAGATTGGGCCGCCTGTGAGTTGGGTGACTGACTTGGGTTTAGCTTAAAAAATAATGATGTCATGGGGCCCCCAGAGAAGATTTTCCCCGAGCCCCACGAATTCTCTCGGCGGCCCTGGTTAGAGGTGGTAGTACGCACCATGTCGGAAACGAAATTGAGTTTAAAGGGATACAACAATATATATACTTTTAATTTCATTTGAAAGAAATTTTAAAATTATTTGCAAATCTCCTTAACCGCTTATTCGCATCTTGCTTAGTTATTGAAATATTTTCACTTAAAACTAATTAGCAGTCCGCCATCTTGGATAAATTTTTATCTCATTATCGGTGATTTTAGCGACGTCAAAAGCAGGGTTAGCCATATAAAACTACAAGTACGCGCAATTTGATCAAATTCGGTAGATGCGTGAATTAAGCATGCGCGATAAGCATTGGTGCCAAAAAATGAAAGTTTCAGCTTTATATATTGTGCCATTAATAAAACATAACAAATTTCTCGCCCATGAACTCAAAATGCGTTTTAATTAAACTAGTTTTAAATTTCGCGCGCAAGCTATTTTTAATTCTGCTAAGAAAGACCACCCCCCCCTGCTCTGGAAAATTTATCTCTACGAAATTTTTTTTGTTTATTATACATACGTACGCAAACAATCTATATTTATCAAAAATTTCAGGAAATGAACGGATTTTTATATACCCTGTATATCATTATATTGATATAAGCACCCTGATCAAATCCGACTATAAGAACTAATGGGCGATTCCAGCTATAGGCTAAACTTTGCAAGAAGAACGAAATCCAACACCACAACTAGAAAGAGCGTCTTAGAATGAGTAAAACGGCAAAGATTGGTTGCTAAATGTTGTAAAATGAAGAAAATATAGCCCTGCGAAGTTCGCACATTTTGTATGTATTATGCGCGGTAAAAATAATTTTAACGATTTTCGGCTCAAAAATGGTTATTTTTCCCGCGCGTAATGCAAATATATCCAAAATTGGGCTATATTTTCCTCATTTTACAACAATTCGCAACCAAACTTTGCAATTTTACTCATTTTAAGATGCTCTTTCCAGCTATGGTAATGGATTCGTTCTTCTTGTCCAGATCAAAATTTTGTGGATTTGGTTTCTGGAATCATGACATCCTTTGCACAGACAGGCATCCATGTTAAGGACCTTCAAGATTAAGGCGCGATGTGGGCGCAGCGACCGCGAAACGTGAATACGCAATAATTGACATAAATTGCGCGTAAGCATGATGTAGATACAGCACGTTTCAACGTTAAAATGGGATGAAAATATGACACACCTTAGACGTGACTACGGGAAGGAACTTTATGTGGTTAAAAAATGACGTATGAACAGAAAAATGGTTTCCTAGTTTTAGAGTATAAATATGAGTGTAAAAATATTATATTGTGTTGGTATTGGTTGATTGGAAAGTGTGAGTGTTAGAGTGTATTAGTATGAAATGTACGTAGAATGGTTAGTTTGATTGATTGTAAAAGATTGTTTGAATAAAGGAAAATTGGAAAAAAGGAAATACAGTCCCAGTGGTTTGTTGACTGAACCAGCGAGCGGAAATTTCTTATTGTTTAACAAAACTTGTGCGAAGAAATTACAACAATCCATACCTTAATCCCAGAATCTCTGCCAGCTTCGGCCTCACCCATTCTGGCATCTCTCTTGACTTGAGCAGTTCGGGACATACCCAGAGCAAGAAGATATCCCTGAAAATCATCGTACAGTATACACACATAAAAATTCATATCTTGTCAACAGGATGTGTTTGTAAACATGTTATAGCAGCAAGTTTGTCAAAAGTCAAAACATGGCCAGAAATAACGGACATGATTATTCTACTTCTCCACTAATTTGCATATCATCGATGCATAACCCGTTGAAATATGGCTTCTGCAGTAAACAGTAAATTATATTACGCGATGCTGTAAATCGCAAAATCGGAGAATAAGGGGATCTTGTTTCAAGTCTGTTGTGTCTAATGCAGACTGTAAATACATGTAGATAGATAGAAATTCTATTTATGCACGCTGACCCTGTCAACCAAAGCTGATTTCCACGAGGGGCGTGTGCAACGCGCATGCTTTGACAACTTGTCAATAGACCTTTCCCCTTTTAAATGAAATTTTGATCTATACAAGTCTGGACAAAAATTTCATCACAGCTTGAAAGAGCATCACAAAATTAGTAATATTCCAAAGTTTCGTTGCGAAATGTTGTAAAATGCGGATAATATACAGTATATACTAATACTAATATACTATATAATATACAGTCTATAATGCAAATGGTCCATTGATAATCAGTTTGATCATCTGATTATCAATTTCCCGTTTATAATGCAAAATGACTGAAAAACGGCAAACTTCGCAAGGCTATATTATCCGCATTTTACAACATTTTGCAACGAAACTTCGGAATATTACTAAGTTTGCGATGCTCGTTCAAGCTGTGATGAAATTTTTGTCCAGACTTGTCTAGATTAAAATTTCACTTAAAAGGGGGAAAGGTCTATTACACACGTAAAAACGCACAAGTTTGTTACAAGTCTGTTCACAAGCTGTTAACAAGCACTGCTTGTCACAAGTTGTCAACAGGTTTGGAACAACTTGTTGACAACTTGTAACAACCTTGTCGAAATTATCAGATCAGTTGCAAGGTTGTTCTGACAAGTCGGTTACATGCTTGATAGAACAAGATTGTTACAACCTTGTGTTGACAACCTTGTAACATCCTTGTTATATCATGGCTGCAACAAACTTGTTAGCACAGTCTTGTAACAAGGCTGATAATGCCATCAAGCTTGTTACAAGTTGTTAACAGCTTGTTTCAAACTTGTTACAACAAACTGGGAACAAGCAGTGCGAACACAACTTGTTGACAGCTTGTGAACAGACTTGTAACAACTTGTTTGCAGACTTGTTACAACTTGTGCGTCACAGGTAAAATCGCACAAGCCGTAACAAACCTGCAGCAGACTTGTAGCAATGCTGTTCCAACAACTTTTCAACAGGATGTGTTCGCACTGCTTGTTCCCAGCTTGTTGACAAGTTGTCAACGGCTTGTTGACAACTTGCTACAAGGTCGTTGAGCCCAACAGACTTGTTACAAGTTGTTCCAACAACTTGTTATCGTCCTGCAAATTCAACAATTTGTCAACAAGTTGCGAGTGACAACCTTGTAGCAACTTGATAGAAAAACAGCATTGTTACAACTTGTTGACAAGTTTGCTACAAGCATATTGCGGACACATCTTGTTAACAGGTTGTGAGATTTTTCCATGTGTAGGCTCTGACAACTTGTCAATTCTTGTGAAATTTTCACTAGATGTGTTTGATAGTTAAGATTAGGTACGAACCTCGTCATCTCGGATATCTTTCAATGTGTAGCTGACGACTGCAATGCCCATTTTGTACAAATCTGAAGATGCAACCTACAGATGTAGAGTGAAAAATCAAAGGATTTAATAATCGGTAATTATGCATATTTTTTTCGCAATATGCCATGCACAGGGAGCAGAGGAGTCGAGTTTGTCTAGTATAAAACAAGACAAACACCGTCTTACCTTGTTAATAGTAGCACTTTGTATATATTTTTAACACTTGGTATATATTTTTAACATTTAATGTTAAGCACTATTGAGGCTATGGGAAATATATAAATGGACTATATAAATTTATAAATGGGCTATATAAATATATAAATGGGCTATATAAATATACAGTATAAATGGACAATATAAATATATAAATGGCTATATAAATATATAAATGGGCTATATAAATATATAAATATATAAATGGACTATATAAATATATAAATGACTATATAAATATATAAATATATAAATGGCTATATACATATATAAATGGGCTATATAAATATATAAATGGACTATATAAATATATAAATGGGATGGGCTATATAAATGAATTATAATAATAATTTACGGCAACAAAATTCTGTCACACAAAGAAAGTTCTTCTGTTCACACAAAGAAATTTGTCACTGCGACGTGTAGCAGCAATTTGTGGCCTAGTTTGTACCGCTTTACACATTACAGTACCTCAAAAACACTCTTTGAAAACTTCTTGCGATCTTTATAGATTTCCTAAAGAAAGACACATTACCTTAGAAGCTTATAGTACTTTGCATAAACATTAAAAAGCAAAATACATGTAGGAGTGGCCAAAGCGAATGGACAAAAGTATTCCTAAGGCTTATACCTCAACTGACATTGTTCCCATTATAGCACGTTGATGCCCTTCCTATAAAGTTAAAATAGGTACTCAGCAAGTACTAATGAAGTACTAATTGTATTTATTAGCGATTGACCGACAATCGGTATCGGACCAATTTTTGCCTTATCGGTATACAATCGGAATCAGTAGAATGGACGACTTGCGCTTTAGAAAAATTTTTAATCTGGGAATAACAAAGGATATTTTCGGAAAGAAGTTATCAAAATTAGAAAAACTGCAAAGTTTGGTTGCGAAATGTTGTAAAATACGGAAAATATAGCCCTGCGAAGTTGGCAAATTTGTATACATTTCTATTATGTGCGGAAATTGGTATCTAATTTAGTTACGGACGGACCATTTGATTTTTCATGGGGGGGGGGGGGGGGGG